TTAACAGGGCTAGGAGAGTAGCTCAGTGGTGAAATGCTTACCTGGCAGGCAAGGCCCTAGGTTTGATTCCCAGGGCTGCAAAATCAAAACAAAACAAAGTTTAACAGCAGGACTTTAGTCTTGCCTCTAACCTTTTGCTTTCTTTCCATTTCTTGGGGAATCAAATATCTCAAACCTATATCAAAAGGATGGTGCATTTATGAGAGATTATCATTTACCTTGTATTTGACAGCTTTGGATATGCTCAATGGAAAGAAAGTCCTATGTTACTTTTGATATCATTATCATTCTCCTGGATTTTTGTATGTAATCAAAACAGAGTTGGCTTTGGAGCCAAAGATCCCTACAGGGCCAGGTAAGAGTTATTGAAAATATTCAGGCCTTAGCCTCCTTATTGGTTACATTGTTACTATAAAACTTAATTAAAACATGAATTTAAGTGAAATAAAGGTAGCAACACAAAGCCATTATCGTTCAATTCCTGAATGAATCTCCATCAACATAAACAGCTAATTCTTTACCTAGGTTAAGCTAAAATAAATCAAAGAGGTAAAAAAATGTATTCCATTCCTTTTACAAATATTTCACCATTTGATCTGGTGTAGTCTCCTTTAACAACCAACTTAAATCCCATAGCAGCTGAATAGAATTTCGTACCTTTTCAGAAACCCTCAACATTAATTGTTTGAAATATTTATTTTATTCTAACTAGTGGCTGCCTTTAGCTTTCATTATTTAGTTGATTTTGCATTTGAATATATTTTATAGCCATAGATAAAACATAGCTCCTTGAAGTTGGAACTCTTGCATCCCTCCCTCTCTTTCTTTTTTTTTTTTTTTTTTTTTTTTTTTTTTTTTTGTACTGCGGATTGAATTCAGGCCCTATGTGCTTGTGAGGCAGGCGGAAAGCCACTGAGCCAAATGCCCAGTCCCCTCCTTCTCTTCTTTACTTCTGCCTTTCTTTTCTTTTTCTTCTCATAATCTTGAGTCACATAGTACCTGTCCAGAAGGCAAGTGGTGGTAGGGAGTAAAAGACATTTTTAAGGAATTCAATATTTATGCCATTAGTTTCATAATCTTTTTTATTTATGAGCTAAATTACAAAAATTTAAAAGACACATTAGTGCATTTTAAGGCCCCCCTGTATGATCAAATTCAATGGTTCACAAAATATCCTCTCTGGTTTTTACTATGTTGAGTTCTTCCATTAACTCCAAGGAAATAAAAAATACAACAAAATTCAGAAATGCCCAGTCAGTAAGCTCAGTGTTAACAGCTAGAGTTTTGTTTTCATCTTAGTCATGTTCTTGTCACTGAGACACAATACCTGATACCCACGATTTAAAGGTGGAGAAGTTTATTTTGACTGACGTTGACAGTTCAGGGTCAGCAGGTTCCAGGACAAGTGGTGTGCTGGAAAGGCCTGAGTGGAGAAAACTGCTCTTGTCAGGGAATAAGAGAGCAATGCAAAGATCCAGGGAGGGAGACACCCTTCCAGGTCGTGCCCCCACGAGCTGCTCTGCTAAGCAGGCGGCCTACCTTGTAACAGCAAGTCAGCTCTGTTTTCCAAATAATTCAGTTACCTTTCAGAAGTCCTGTCTATGAACAAATGAAGACTTCGTGGGGGGGGCATTCTCAATCTAAACCATAACAATATTTATTTATTTATTTTTTTGATACCAGAGATCGAACTCGGGTCCTTGCGCTTGCAAGGCAGGCCACCCAACCACTGAGCTAAATCCCCGGCCCCCATAACAATATTTAAAAGAAACTAAATTATATACAATACAGAAAGGTTCTGAAAAATTTTACAATACAGTTTCAGTATCTGCATATATATATATCTGCTAATATTAATTTATATTTACCTTTTTTTCTCACTTCATCCCAGGAATTAATCCAGTCAACACAAAAATCTTTAGCAAGAAAAGAATAACACATTGAACAGATCAAGAAGGTTGTAGGTGAAGGCCATGAAGAATAAATGTATAAGGATGTCATTTGTTGAAAGGTAAGAACTTCAAGTAGTCTCTTTTAACTTTCATTTTATGTAGCTGTGGTCAATTTCATAGCCTCCACCAATACTGAACAGGGAAATTGGAAAACTGAGAATCGATTTGCAGAAGTGAAGCTCTATTTTCTTTCAAACCTCTTCCATCAGAGCTGCTATCATTCTTGTGCTGTGTGGTATTATTATTGACGGTAGCCCAGGCACAGCTGATTATTGCTAAAAGCCATTCTCTTAAAGTGGAAACAAAAAACCCAAGGTGACTGCGCAGTTTGCTCATTTTTCAAATGGGCTGTTTTCATAACTTAGTCTTTGCTACAGTTTAAATGTATAGAATTACCTTCTCTCAAGCAGCTATGATTACAGAAATCCTCTTTAATTTTGGTGCCTAGGCAATACATATTACAATAATAAAGCTTTACATGTCAGCTTTGAACCAAATGAAGCCCCTTCAAATATCCTAGTTTGCTTTTTCAATTTTCATTCTTAGTACAGATTTTACGTCACTGTAAATATATGAGAAAAGTGCTTTAGAGGACAATATGTTAGTACATTTAATTGGTTCCTATTAAATTTGAAATTAAAGCTACTTCTTTGAAAACCAAGCCATAGCCAATGGCTATTTAGTACCAACCCTGAGGCAGAATCTCTTTTGTATTCTTAAAGTTCATTGAGAATGAATAGGAATATTGCTTCAATTTTGAGTCTCCTATTTATTTTCTTGTAATGCATAATAATGAAATTGTTACTATGCAATGCCTCCTGCCCAGTAGAATTGGGTCAATATTTATGTATTATAGAAAAGGTAAGGTTAGAATTATAAATTTTTATTTTTTATATTTACACTGGCTTTTTTATTTTTATGGTTCTTTATATTCTACCCTAACCAAATTTAGAAATCTTTATGGGTCAAAGAATCAGACTCTTTAATTAATTTAACAATAATTAATTAATCTAATAATTGTAGGTAAATAGTTGAGAATTAAATGAAATAAAAACTGGTCAAATTTCTTAAGGACTAAGTAGAAATTCCTATATTTTAAAAGGTTTGAGAAAGTTGTCAATTAAATTTGAATTTCAGGTAAACAACAAATAATATTTAACTGTGTTCCAAATAATGCATACCCTGTTTTTTGTTAAACCCAGCAACCCTGAGGATTGATACCATGATCAATAGCATCGATATTGTGTACAAAACCTCTACTTTTTAAATAAATAGAGGTCATGAAAATTGAAATTAAAGTTATGAGTAATAAAAGTTAAACTGAGGTTATCCACATAGGACAATACAGAAAGCATTTTAATTAAAATGAGTTATACATGCATGTGAATATTCATAAACTTCTTTTCCAAGAATCACATTTTTTTTCAGCACTGGGTATTGAACCTGTAGTGTCTTCACACTGAGATACATTTCCAGCCTTTCATTTATATTTTGAGACAGGGTCTTGCTTAGCAGATAAACTGTCCAGGTTGGGCTTGAACATGTGATTCTCTTGCCTCAGTCACCCAGTATTCTGGGATTACCATGTCTAGTTGACCACTCCTTAACGAATAGTAATTTGCACTTTAATTTCTCAGGATACCTGAGAAATTAAGTGTTTTTCTTAATCACAGCTTAAATTCCAGGATCCTTCATTCAGAAAATCAGCTGGGGATGGAGGATATGCTTAGTGTTAGAGCACTTATGGCAAGCCCTACATTCAATTCCCCAACATCAAAAACCAGAAGACAGGCAGGGACAAGGGGAAAAAAAGAGAACAAAGACCACCTGTCATGTAAAGGTACAAGATCCCAATAATGAACATAACTGTACTGTATACCTAAAATGTACCAATAAACTCAATAAAAGAAAAAAAAACCCAAAAGACAGAAGGGGGAGAAAAAGAGGGAGGGAGGGGGAGGGAGAAAGGGAGAGGCCTTTTGATCTTTTCAATGTTAGAAAAATTATGCAAATGGCCTACCTACATGTCCATTAAAAATTCCTTCCTATTATCTGATCCTTACATTCAAAGGTCTAGCATTCCCAACATTCACGTCTTCTGTCTTACACTTATTTAAACAATATTAATGCCAGAAGTACTGGACAAGTAAGTCAAAACATGTTAACAATAAAATTTCTGCTTTCTTTCTTTCAAAAGTGTTGTAGCCTATGAAACAGAGTGAATATGGATTATTATTCCCAGGTGGAGGAGCCATGTGCTCAAGAATTGAAAGGTCTTATCTAAGATCCCACACATGGTAAGCAAAGAGCCAGGACTTTAGAATTTCCGTTTTCAAGCTCAAGGCACTCTGAAATATTTCTTCAAAAAATAATCCCAACCTCCTTAACCTCTCCATTTCTAAGAAGCAAAAGAGAAGGCCTCTTGAATGCCTTTGTAGTAGTCATGAGCTCGTGAAAGTGGGACAGGTGCTCTCTGGGTGTGTTAGGAAACAAGACACAGGTGAATGTAAGGTCCCTAGCAACCTCGTAACCAAACCAAGATAAATCTATGAAACCGGAGCACCTGCTAAGCGAGGCTATTTCAATGGGGTGTCACAGGTGACTCATCATAACCGGTTGCTTTTGGGCCTTCTGATATTTTTCTTCAGGATGGAGTGTTTGATTTTCTTTGCATTTTTGGACAACAGTCCTGTACATTCGTAAATTTTTCTGATTTCATAGCCATCACGCTGATCTTGTTTTTATACCGGAAGCAGTCATTGCAACGGTTTAGGAAATGAAGGAAAAGGTGGGGAAAAAATGAGCCAGCGGCCAAGACAGAGGCCTAAAATGGGGAAATTTTCGTTTGGAGAGCTTCGCTTACCCCAGCCCCGAGAATGACAGCTTTCCTCGCGCTAAAGACTACGTGTCCCGGCAGGCACTGCGCGCCCTGCGGGCACAGGCTGGCAGGCTCCCTGCGCTCCACCTCCGTCCTGACCAGCCAATAGTAATCGCCGGCTCCGTCCTCCGCCAGACCCGGACCACGAGGGCGCGTGGGCCATCAAACTACATTACCCGACGCGCCTGTGCTCACGTGGTGGCCAATTACAGCCAGGGATTTGGAGGATGGGGGCGGAGCCAGACGCATAAACTATCTCATTGGCCAGCAGAAGCTTAGTAGAGCCGGAACCCGGGAGCTGGAGATGCGAAATGACATTTCCTCTTTAAATAGCCTGAGCCGGGGCCCCATTCCAGAAATGGCCGCGTCGGCAGGTGGGTATCGTGGTGGCGGCCGGGACGGTGTGGGAAGGAGATGTGCAGGGAGCGGGGAGGCGAGCCGGGGCCGGGCGCTAGCTGCAGGCTGAGGGGGCAGCGACGTGGGAGCGAGAGGAGGATGGAGCGGTGGCGAGGAGCGGGGCGGGAGGATGAATGGCTCGGAGGGAGTTCTCCCCGAGCGAGCGGCGGGCTGGCCTGGGAACGCGTGCCGCAGCTCGCCGCCTGCTCCTTGCCTCCCAGATCCTCTGTCCTGTGTGTAGACAAATACGTATTTGTGTAGGGAAGCGGGAGGGACGCGTCGGTGAAACACTCGAGCGCGCGCGCACACACAAAACAATTCTTCGTCGCCGTCTCTGGCTCGAACTTCTTGTGGTCCGAGCGAGCGGCGGGCTGGCCTGGGAACGCGTGCCGCAGCTCGCCGCCTGCTCCTTGCCTCCCAGATCCTCTGTCCTGTGTGTAGACAAATACGTATTTGTGTAGGGAAGCGGGAGGGACGCGTCGGTGAAACACTCGAGCGCGCGCGCACACACAAAACAATTCTTCGTCGCCGTCTCTGGCTCGAACTTCTTGTGGTTCTTCGATTTCTCTCCTCCTAGACCTAAACAAGTCTTCCCCAACACCGAATGGGATCCCGTCTTCAGACACAGCCAATGATGCCATGGACCCCTTCCATGCTTGCAGTATTCTTAAGCAACTGAAAACAATGTATGATGAAGGACAACTGACAGACATCGTAGTGGAAGTGGATCACGGGAAAACATTTTCCTGTCATAGAAACGTTCTCGCTGCGATCAGCCCTTACTTCAGGTACCATGGTAGTGGGAACTGATAAACGTATGCACGGAGCTCCCTGTTACCCTCAGTGTTGTCCATTTGATTACTATGCTGAGGTGGGACAATAGAATGAAACACATGAATTTTGGTTTTGAATGTAGGTGAGGTGGCGTCTCTTAATAAGCCCTTGTGTTCTGACTTAAGATAATCTTTTATAGCTCCTAAGGTAGGTTTTTAAGTGAAGGGACTTGTGTTTATTAAAGTCGATAACCTGAAAATCTAGAGTTATGCTACTCAGAGTGGCAGCCATTAGCCATACATGACTATCTATAGTTAAATTATTTAAAATGAAGCAAATTTAAAAATTCAGTTCCTCAGGTACACTAAACACATTTCAAAGGTATCGCCCTATATGGCTAGTGGCTGCCATCTTGGACAGCACAGAAATACAGCATGTCATCAATGAAAGTTTTATGTGACAGAGCTGGTCTAGAGTATGTTCCAAAAACTTACGACCTATATTTCTTTAGTGTGTATGGCTCGTTTAGAGTTGAAAACATAAAAGCTTGATTCTTTCTTAATTGCCATACACTAAATTGTTTTAGTTTTATAGAAGGAATAAAAATGAATGAAAATTTGGTTTCTGTGTGTCTTAGACCCCATGGTACTGATTATTTCCAAGATTTCCAGAAGTATTTTATGCTGTTTTCATTTTCATTTGTATTAGTTTTATCAGAAACTTTTGAAAATTAAGGATCTAAAATTTGAGTCTGAAAAATAAACTTCCTCCTCCCAGAAAAGGCAGTTTCCTGCCTAAGCATAACTTTTTATAAATGCTCACTTTTTAAAGCCTTTCCTTATTCAAAAGTGGTGCGTGGTGATGATAAAATCACCTTTCCAACCATACACTAGAAGTACCTTTTACTTTTGAAGGCGCTTAGCTTTTAGGGCTTATAGCAGTATAATGTTCCAGCCAGTAGTCTCTGGTTCCTTTTTTTTCAGAGTGCTGGGTTAAATATAGTTACTTGCTTGTGATGTAACCATTTAGACTTGCTTGGGTAAGTATTGGACTACTGAGTATTAATTATCACAGGACAGTGAGCTGGAAAGAAAAAAAGATGAAATTCACATATGCAGAAGATACAAAGATTGGCTTGGCAATGAAAACTGAGGATGAGATTTATGTACCCAGGCTATTAATTAGATATGATCACATCATTTATGTCTTTAAATATGGTACAGTTAATCCTTATGAAACTCTGGCTAAGCTTACTTTCTGTGTATTAGTTTATATGATCTTTATAAACCTATCTCTGCAGTTTTTATTCCCATTTTACATATGAAAAAACTGAGGCTCAGTAAATAATGCCTAAATCATCTACCTGATTAGTCAGTATATCCAAGGCTAGATTTGATTCCAGAGCCAGGCTTCTTATTCACTATATGACTTAAAGAAAAAGTAAAAATGAGTCCTCTTTAAAGATTCCTTTCAAAGTTTTTTTATTGTATATTATATTTGAATAGCAAAAGAAAAAAATGAAACTTCACAATGAAAATTACTATAATTAAAATTTTATGCTCTAAATTAGCATTGAAGTCCTACACATATTACTTTAAAGATGTATGTATCCGCCAAGTGTGGTGGCACGTTCCTGTAATTCTAGCACTCTGGAGGCTGAGGCAGGAGGATCACTGTGAGTTCCAGGCCAGCCTGGGCTACATTGTGAGTTCAAGGGCAGTCTGAACTACATAGAATCTGTCTCAAAAAACAAACAAACAAAAAAAACAGCAACAACAGCCAAAGAAGTATGCATATAATAGATGTTCTTAATTTCTAAGAAGTTAAAAAATATGCTTGGAAAACTTTCTGATCATAAGGTATGTACATCCCGATAAAGATGTATGGCTAGAAAACTGAAGGATTAGATTTATTTCTCTTGCTAGAATTTTGGTACAGAAGTTTCTTGGCAGCAGTGCTACTCCTGATATGGAATGGAGAAAGTCATACTTAATAATTTCTGAGTCTTGCATCATAGGTAGAAGAATTAGAACAGCTAGAAATCTGGCATGGCAGGGACTTGTCAGAATTAAAATTTGTAAGACTATTAGAAAAATTTTGCTACTCAGAATTTCACAAGTAAACTTTATTTAGAGTTTACTTGCAGGTCCTATTAAAATGGAAAACTCATCAGATATCAGACCACTCAGGACCAGCCTGTTCAAGTCCCAAGTAGTTCCCATGATGAAGGGATGTGTGGTAATGTGCTCCTGTGGGAGTTAATCTCTGCCTAATGAAGGGCTTTCTTTTTCTTTCTAATTAGTAGCTGTATAGGTGAGTCTTTCAGCACATGTATTGAAAGCCAGCTCATACACAGGAACATTAGTCATTAAGAAGAGCCTGTTAAACTTTACATTGTAGAAGTAAAAACAGAACTCACTGTCGATTATTCTGCACAGCAAGCTTTTATACCCTTCATGTTTCTCATATTACATTTAAGATTAATTCCATGTGATTGCTGGGGATTTCAAAGGCAACTGGAAATATTCTTATTTTAAGGATATTTCTCATAACACTTAAAAATAAAAAGGGAGGGGTCTGGATCTCAGTAATTAACTTTATCACCAATGTTAGAACAATTTCTCCAACAGTTGTTTGTGAAGCATGCTAGATCTTGAAAGCAAAGATAACTATGACAGATCTCCTTCAAAAGACTTTTTTTTTTCCTTTTTTTTTTTTGAGACAGGGTCTCACTATATAGTTGAGGCTGACCTGGAACTCACTCTGTAGCCCAGGCTGGTCTTGAACTCACAGTGACCTTCCTGCCTCAGCCTTCTGAGTGCTGGGATTATGGGCATGTGCTATCATACCTGGCTCAAATGACTTTTAAAACACATTTTTATTTGATTTTTATATTTATTCTACAAACAGCGTAAAATGAAACCTTGAAGGAAAATAAAGGTAAATGATATTTATAAATGGCTAATACTTAAAGAGCCAGTTTTTTTAGCTACTTAATATTTTGGCCAAGAAAGTCTCATAAATGCACCAATATTTTTACTTTTTAAAGAAAGCTTGCTCTTAAAGACAAGTTTGGAACTTTACCATTATGTGTAAAGAATAATGTGTTGAATGTTAAATCTCTTTAGAAGGCACTGAGACTATAATAGTGTTTATGTATAGATATAAAAAATAAAATATGTTAATTTTTACTGAAAAGATAAAGTTTATTTTTTTAAGGAACAGTTTTCAAAATGTCCAAGAGAAAGTGATCTTTAAATTCCTTGTAAGGATTAAAGGAACAGGCAAAAGATATTAGATTTTTAAAGAGGAAGTAGAGAATATGTGCTTTTGAAGAACATTTTGATTTTTCTAAGATAAAATTTTTAAAGATATATTTTGGGCACAAGTTGCCTTGTCATTTCCACTGGGACATAAAGCTTTATTAGATTATCTCTCTGTATGTTAATCATATTGCTACTCTTACAGATACTATTAAACTTTCTGGGGCTTGTCAATGTAAGATCCCATTCCCTAAGGCAACTTGGCAAGAAGCTGTGTTAGGGACTCCAAGGAAAATCAGGTGACCTTAAATATGACATGTGGTTCGCTGGTTTGCTCTACTTGAGTATCTCCTCTTTTCATAGTTGGCACAGTAGGAGAGAGACCCTTTTCCTCGAACCCCCTTAGATTTTATGTGGGCTCTTTAATTGGACCTACAAACCCAGATAATACAAGAGTTGAATTGTAAGTAGAAAGCATAAAAGTTTTATTAATTTTACCTGTACATGAGGATCCAAACAGTCAAGTCTATAGAAGTAATGAAAGCATGATTCTTTTGTACTTTTTAGACAAAAACATGAAATCTGTGAAGGAATGACAAAGCAAATAGATGTCTGGAGTAGGGTAGTAAATTTTAGGGATTTACCAAGAGATATATCAGAGTATGGGAGAGAGATAGAAGCTCATGGAAGAGAAAGGTTACTTGGGGAGTTTGGCTATTCAGGCTCACTGCAGCCATCATTATCCAATTGCTCAGGTGATCGGAACTATTTTCTAGCGTTGATATATGAAGAAAATCCTTCCCAAAAGACTGCATGGCTTGCTGTGTGTAGGGAGAGACAGACAGTTATAATTCCTCAAGTGATTTCACCTGAGATGATCTGCCACTGCGGTGTATTTGAGGATGGCTCATCTTTAACTCCTTCAGCATGAATTGGACTAGCATTGATGATAGGGATTAAGGGAATAGTGCACCAAATCCTTCTGCTAGATGAATAGGTTTTCTCCCCGTCAGGGAATATATTCATTTAGTCGGAAAGGTTATCTTTGTGATAACTTTGTACTTTCAAAAATTTGTCACAGTAATTTTTATTTGCAGCACACAAAAATATTAATGCTCTTTTTTTCTTAGATCCATGTTCACTAGTGGCCTTACTGAAAGTACTCAAAAAGCTGTTCGAATTGTCGGTGTTGAAGCTGAATCAATGGATTTGGTGTTGAATTATGCCTATACCTCTAGAGTTCTTCTGACAGAGGCCAACGTTCAAGCTCTGTTCACCGCAGCTAGCATCTTCCAGATTCCTTCCATCCAAGATCAGTGTGCTAAGTACATGATCAGTCATTTGGACCCGCAGAATTCTATTGGCGTTTTTATCTTTGCTGATCATTATGGTCATCAGGAACTTAGAGATCGATCGAAAGAATACATTCGTAAAAAGTTTCTGTGTGTCACCAAAGAACAAGAGTTTCTCCAGCTGACGAAAGACCAACTGATAAGCATACTGGACAGTGATGATTTAAATGTAGACCGAGAAGAGCATGTTTATGAAAGCATTATACGATGGTTTGATCATGAACAGAATGAGAGAGAGGTGCACCTTCCAGAAATCTTTGCCAAATGCATTCGTTTTCCCCTGATGGAAGACACCTTTATAGAGAAAATTCCACCTCAGTTTGCACAGGCTATAGCCAAAAGCTGTCTAGAAAAGGGACCATCTAGCACCAATGGCTGTACACAGAGGCTTGGAATGACTGCTTCTGAAATGATCATATGTTTTGATGCTGCTCACAAACACTCAGGAAAGAAGCAAACAGTGCCTTGCCTAGATATAGTCACAGGAAGGGTGTTTAAACTGTGTAAGCCACCAAATGACCTGAGAGAAGTTGGGATTCTCGTGTCACCAGATAATGACATCTACATTGCTGGCGGGTACCGGCCCAGCAGCAGCGAGGTCTCCATCGACCATAAGGCAGAAAATGATTTCTGGATGTATGACCATTCCACCAACAGATGGCTGTCCAGACCATCCTTGCTTCGGGCCAGAATAGGCTGCAAACTTGTATATTGCTGTGGTAAAATGTATGCAATTGGAGGGCGTGTTTATGAAGGTGATGGGAGAAACTCACTGAAGTCTGTAGAGTGCTACGATAGCAGAGAGAATTGTTGGACAACTGTTTGCGCAATGCCAGTTGCAATGGAATTTCATAATGCTGTGGAGTACAAAGAGAAGATCTATGTTTTACAGGGTAGGTGCCAGTGCGATGTAGTTGGCTGTGGAAAGTTAATACACCAAGTGTGATTTTCTTATTGTACTGAAACTTGTAGCAGGTCTTGTTAATGGAATAATACCTCTGGCTTCTTTATCAGGAACTGTGTGTCAGAACACTATTCTACAAAGGGTCATGGTGAGAAAGGCCTGTAGTCCCAGCCCTCGGGAGGCTGAGCTAGGAAGAGTGTGAGAGGGCAGATTGGGCTATGTGGCAAGGCCACGCCTGAGTGATCCCCCACACACACACAAAAGAAAAACTTTTGAATCAAAGAAGTTGAAAATATTCAAAAGTATTTTTAAGTTACTAAAATGACTGTGTGAGTTTTTGTTCATATGTTTTGACATTATGTAGGGTGTTTTTGAAAACAATAATAATAATTTGGCATTTTGGGAGAGAGCAGTTATAAAGACTTTAAAGAATAAAGCAAGGTTAATACATGGCTAATTTTGCTCTTCATCTACATGTATAAATATGAATATATATATATGTATATATGAATATATTATATATAAAATCAAGAAATGTAGCAACTGCTTTTTTTAAACTGGGGTTTACAGGAATGGTTTAAAAATAAAACAAAGCACAATGAAGTATTGACTAGAATTATACTATTCACTTACCAAAGATTTTTGTATAAGCCTCGTAATCGCAAAATTATGAAAATTGCTAACAAGAGGTTAAAAATTATACTCCTAAGAGTTTTAATTTCATGAAGTTTATCTTGGCTTTTTAAGAGGTTGTTTTCTTTTTTGCACTAATGAACTTTGAGATGTCAATTTTTTCTCTTATTGTGAGACTAGCTAATATGTTTATCTTAAAAAAAGAAAAACTATCACAAGCTGTTTATCACAAAGATACCGTAGAAGTAGAGTGATTGGGTAAGAGTAAAGAAGATCCTGATTTGTGAAAATAATAATTTCCTTATATTTTGTCTTATGTTTTAGTTGCTTGGATGTTGAATGCAATGTAGGTAATACCCAAATCCTTATTATTATTATTTTTTTTTTTAAGGCAGGGAAATGCTGTGTCGTTTAGGTTGGCACTGAACTTACCGTGTAGCTCATGCTGGCCTGGAACTCTTAATGCTCTCTCCTACCTCAACCTTCCACTCTCCCAGGTTGCCAGGATTATGCATATGCATGCCCCATACCAGCCCTTCTGTTTCTTTTTTTTGGTACCGGGAATCGATCTCGGGACCTTGCTCAAGGCAGAACCACTGAACTAAACCCCTGGCCCAGCTCTTCTGTTTCTTGTTTTTGTTTTTTTTTTTTTGATACCGGGGATTGAACTCAGGTCCTTGCGCTTGCAAGGCAGGCCACCGAACCGCTGAGCTAAATCCCTGGCCTGCTCTTCTGTTTCTTAATGGGCTATATGTAAAGGTTTTCCTTATGCTACTACTTTAGTAAAAAAGGAGAAAGGGCAACTTTCATGAAGATATACATAATTTTTAAGTTCTCATCTCATTTAAAAAATAATAATTTTAAAATAATAACTTTAAAAATAGCTATTTTTTTTTCTATAGTCCTTTGATTTAAAATTTGCTAGAAATTCCTGAATGCTTTTACTTTTGAGATCAAGTTAATTCTCCAGAAGGAGGAGTACCTTCTGGTACCTTATTTTAGCTACATAAAGGCACACGTAGAGGAATGCATGTATACTCCACTCTCTGTGGTTGGATAGATTTTATCCAATGTGGTAAAGCTGTGTGTGTGTGTCTTAGTGACTAACTAGTTCATTTACAGAGATAAAATTCATGATTATACTCCCAGCTGGAATGTAAAGGTTACATAATGATGCAAATAATATTGCATGATACTGGTGGATTAATAGAATTTAAGGGCCAGAATGAACATCATTTACTCTGAGATTATATTTTATTTATTGATTGATTTATTTGTACCAGGGATTGAACTGAGGACCTGGGTACTTGCCAGGCAGGTGCTGTGCCACTGAGCTAAATCCCCTGCCCTGCGATTGTATTTTGCATAAGAGGAATATGAGGTCTTGAAGGTTTTCTTTAATTACTTATTGATTTTTATGAAACGGGATGTTAAATTTTAAAAAATCAATCTTTTTGTGTGTCATCTTTCCTTCATATAATTTATAGGGAATTGGCACACATTAAAACATTGTAATTCTTCTCTTCTTTATCCAGACTCCAGTAGGAAGTTAGTCAGTAAGGCAGGTACTGTGCAAACGAAAGCTGGGGCTCAAGTAAAATTGATGTTAAAATGTCTATTAAGGAGGCAGCTAAATTTCTAGATGAGAGTAACCTTAATGAGAACAGTTTTCAAGGGGAAGTTTAATTAGGATCCTGGTATTTCTAATCTGAATTAAAGCCTCTTTACATAAATAAACCTGACATGAATCCCAAAACTCCAAAATTCAAAATGCTCCAAAGTCTGAAACTTTTTGCATGGTGTTTGTGACAGGTCACATTCTAAAAGTGGGCACAGTAAAAATATTGTATAAAATAATTTTCACACTATGTGTAAGCTGTATATGAAGCATAAATGAATTCCATGTCTAAACTTGGGTTTCATGTCCATCCTATCTCATGCGTATGCAAATATTCTAAAGTTACTGTAAAATTATTTCCGATAAGGAATACTCAAACTGCAGTGGCTCTTGAACTATAATCTGTTCATAAAGAGTTCGGAGTTTTATGATGGCACTTAGACGCAGGTTGCCATTAATAAAACTTATAAATCTTCAGTACTTTAATTCCTACAGACCCTTTCCTATTGGCAGTCTGATGTAGCATACCATTTCTTGTCAAATTAGAACAGAAACTGACTCAAAGACAACTGCATGAACCGCATGTGGGTCTATCTTTTGTGTCTTTGCCACGTTTTCTCCTGGTGAAGCGTATCTTTTGTTTTGTTTTTTTGGTACCAGGGATCAAACTTGGGCTCTTGCGCTTTTGAGGCAGGCAGCAGCACCACTGAGCTAAATCCCCAGCCCATGGTGAAGTGTCTTTTTACATCCTTGCCACACTAAGTAAACATATCAGTGGCCATAAGCACAAATGATTGCGTATGCCTTCTTCTAATGAAATAATGTATCAATGTGCAGTGTCTCATTTATGATGAAACTATACATATGCATTCTGGCCTTGCTGACTGGCCACTAGTAATAATGCTTCTTTACAACTGGCTTCAGATCAATTTTCACTAACACACAATTGGCCAAAACTAACGGAACCAAGGCTGTGTGCTTCTGCCTTCAAGCTGGAATAACTCCTTATACCTCTCCCATATGAGCATTGCAAATCAGGTTGACTGCAATATTATCTGTTAAATATTTTAGAAAGTGAGTTATTTGAAAAGTAAACCATATAAGCTGTTTAGTCTTCAGAGGTTGGAATTACAATATACAAAATTAAAAAGGAAAATAAACGTATTCTTTTCCCTTTTTTTTAGGAGAATTTTTCCTCTTCTATGAGCCTCAAAAAGACTACTGGGGTTTTTTAACCCCCATGACTGTGCCTAGAATCCAGGGCTTAGCAGCTGTCTACAAGGACTCTATCTACTACATAGCTGGGACCTGTGGAAATCACCAACGCATGTTTACTGTAGAAGCCTATGACATTGAGCTCAATGAGTGGACTCGGAAGAAGGACTTTCCATGTGATCAGTCTATAAACCCGTACCTTAAGCTGGTCCTCTTCCAGAATAAACTGCATTTATTTGTTCGAGCTACTCAAGTGACTGTTGAAGAGCACGTCTTCAGAACCAGCAGGAAAAATTCCCTTTACCAGTACGATGACGTTGCTGACCAGTGGGTGAAAGTGTACGAGACCCCGGATCGGCTGTGGGACCTGGGCCGGCATTTTGAATGTGCCGTGGCCAAACTCTATCCTCAGTGTCTTCAGAAAGTACTTTAACGAGGCCTTAGTGCCCGGCTGGACTCTCAGACTGAAAATGCTTGTCCGAAGGAGTGATGTCAGTGTTGGAGAGAGCTGAGAGAGTTTTGTACACAGAAGTGGGTGCCGTTAAAGATTACAGCCTAGGGAGAAATTTGCGTTCACTTTGGTGATGTTTTCATTTCAGTAAGGAAAAGGTAACAAAGTGCAATTATCAGCATTTTTTTCCTGGCGTCAGAGTAATTGTATCATCCTGGAACTCTGCTAAATAGTCACCCAACTTATCAAGACAACTATGCACTCTTTCAAGAGCAGTTAGGGTATTATTACTGGGTAGAGACATCCAAACTAGCTTGACATGACTTTTTAATTTAAATACGGGTAACAATCTGAGGCAATATCACTAGGACTTTATTTAGCTGTGACCTCTCTAACACAGAGAAGCACTAACTTAGATCCTCATTCTTAATATTTATATATAAATTGACATATATATTTTTGTGTACCGTTTTCAAGTGTGCTGAGATTTAAATGTGTTCTGTTGTTAGGTAGACTAAAGGAAAAAAATCAGTCTCAGAGAGAACTTTTAGTGTGATTGTTTCACATTCTCCATATCTTTAAGTTAAGCTAAAGTTTAAAGTGGCAGTTTTCTGTCAAAAACTTCTTCAAGTGCTAACACTGCTTCATTTTTTAAAATCCTGGAAAGGGCTCACATTTGTAGGTGGCTGGTGCTAGTATAAATTAATTTATGTATATATAGGTAGATTTAAGTGGTCTGAGCCTATGCTTGTCTTTCAGGTTGGTGTGTTTGTTTCATGGTCTCAGTAGTACTTTACCTGTTGAACCCTTGTGGTGTCACAAGGCTTGGTACTTATGTGATAGGGTATGGGCCAGATGTTGGCTAATCATAGAACAGCATGACTGTTGCACCACATTTGCATTGACATGGGCTGTTTTGCTGCCCAGCCTCCTTTTCTATCCTCTCCGTGTCCAGTCATTATTGGTACCATGAAAGTAACTTATAATGTGAACTTTTACACCTACCTTTAAAATTCTGTTTTCCAGAAACATAATATTTGTGGTAGTCTAATTTAATGGCTTTTGAAGTTTCATATTACAGTGACAACCTCATTGTTTTTTTCTTTTTGCACTTCGCAACAATGAATACTTCTACATGAAATACTGTTCTAGCTGAAGAGGACTGACAAGGAAAAGAGTGCGTGAACAGAACCATAGCTTCGTAGATTCTAAGTCATTTTGCATGTATAACTGATGAGTTTCTAACAGAAATATTAACAAGAGGGACACACAGACGTTTGTGTATTTCTTGGGCAGATAGATCAAACCTTTTTCTTCACTGTGCCTGGAATAACTGATAAAGGATAGCTTAGAGTCTGTCCCCAGCTGGAACAGTTTGATTCTCTTGAAGAAAGCACACTGGCATGGTTTGTATTTAGAAAGATCTTGCACAAATTGTAATGTGATACTGTGAAACATGGAAAGCATTGCTTCTTTGCCTCACATACCTCGTTTTCCAGAAACTTTCCAAACTGCTTTACCAAGCCCTGTACAAACAAGGACAGTTTTCTGAAGCAGAAGTTCAAGTACACAGCGTTTATAGAAGTAACGCTTTAAAATCTCGACCTAGAAAGCTAGATGTGTTGTTTCTTCTTATTGGCCTTATTGTCTGTAATCTCTTTTTAAACTTTGTCAGCCAATATTTTTCCTCCTCAGTTTTTCTTTGTCCTCTGTTTTTATCTTCATGCTGTTTGTATTATTTCTGTGAGCCTTGTTTTGAGTAATTTTTTTACAGTTTTATATAGCTGAGGGGAAGAAAAAAATAACCAATTTTTACAAAGAGATGTCCATGTAATTTATTTTGAAAGCTTTGTTGAGTGTCTAAGGTCTCCTGCCACTTTTTGACAATCTTCTGTATTTAGAAAAAATGTATTACTTGAAAACATGACATAGAATATTAAGTTAGCAATGTGTAGGTGCTGTGTGGTAGATACAGAGGAGAACAGCAGTGTGGTTAGTTCTACAGTAGATATGCACACAAGTTGATCCTTTTACTAGAACAATTTATATTGAGAGTATGATCTGTGTACAGTGTATCAAAGCCAAGGCTTAGAATTTGCCATGGGATTAGAATATATCTTGAATTTTGTATGAGGAATTATTTGTTTACATTATATATAGCTGGGATATTTTGCCACTTCTAAAATGGTTTCAGAGGAGGTCCTAGAAAGCTAAGATTAGTGATGTGTGGGTTTATGGGTAGATCTTTAAAGCACATTTTCACAGTATGATGAGAACATAAGTAAAAGGTATAATGGCTACTACAGAACTAAAGATCTAACCTATGCCACCCCTACTTTACCTATGTTTTTGCATTTAAAGAATGTAAGTAGCACTTTCCTATATATTTTTTACACATTGAAAACTGGACTTGGTTTAACTGTGTTATAGGAAAGTAGAAATTGTATTCTTTATTTTCCGTCTTTGTTTCCTGTTATCCTGTAAAGTTGATGCTTAAGTGTTAAGGTAATTTCTTTGGTGCATGAGAAAAAGTGGATATAATCTGCAAGGAATCAGAGTCTCTGTAAAGCAGTTTAAAATGGCATTCAATGTTCAGTGCTCAGGTATGTAGTAAGTACTGTAGTCCTATGGGGGCGAATGTGTAGATATTTTTCAACGTTTTGCCGTAATTGCACAATTTTTTGCATTTTTACCTGATGTCATTGTTTCTTATAATAAATCCTTTCTGACTGAAAACTTCCAGTGTTGTAAACTGACCTCTGATAAGTGACTTTTGCAGAATTAAAATTTGATGAAAATCTTGAAATACCTCATGAATGATGTTTTAATCTATCTAATGTCTGGCCTGTGATAGAAAATGAACTAGGTAATATCACTGTATAGCATGCTCTTTTAAATTCTAAAGCGAGCTCACTTCTACCAGTAACTCTGCTTGTTCTGGCCTAAGTTGTTGCTGCCCTCAACTCTTCTCTCTTTACACATTCCATATCTAATCCATCAGAAAATCCTCTTGCTTCCTCCTTTGAAATGTATCCAGACTCTGTCTGTGTGTCACTGCACAGTGTCACCCTCGGCTAGGCTAGCCTGTCTTGGCTTCCTTAATGCAGTAGCTACTGAGCTTACTCTCTTCCCATCACTCTTGACCCCTTGTACTTACTCTATTTTCCCTGCATTGTAGTCCAAGTGATCTTGTTACAACATAAACAAGTTGATGTCCCTCCTCTGCTCAGATCCCTCCCGTGGCTTAGCATCTCCCTTCATAAGTTTGCCAAACCCCTTACGTGTGTTATCTACTCCTCCAACCTCATCTTTTACACCTTATTGCCATTTCACCGACTCACTTGATTTCAGCCACACTGACTGAGTTCCTCACACATGCCCAATACCTCCACCATCAAGACCTGTGCCCTTGCCATATTGTCAGATAAGCCCTGGCAACCCACCTTACCAGATAGCCTTCCCTGTTAACTTTATTTTCCAGCTCCTTCTCCACCCATGCCACATACTATTTCCTGGCTTTTCACATACATCTTCCCCCATTAAAAAGTAAGCTTCACAAAGTCCAGTGATCTGCTTTATTCACTTGCCCTGTAGCTCAATGCCTGGCTCATAGGCATTCAGGAAATGTTAGAAAGCAGGAAAAAATGAACTTTCAGTTAAGTGTCAGGCGGCCGGAGAAGTGATAGAACCAGGATTTTCATCTCTCTTTTAGCAGAGAGGAAACAAAGACCAGGTGAATCTCTAAAGGTCATCTAGCAAAGAGCTCCCCTGGGATTAGAAACAAGATTGCTATTTCCGTCTGTTTCCCACACAACACTCTGTATTAGTTCCCAACAAAACAAATAGGAAAGGCGGATGCTGCATATTTGTATTAATGGTTGCTGTTCAGTGTCCCATTCCTCCCTGATGCTATTATTTAAAATATATTGCAATTTATATCTGGCTCTTGGTAGATGGGGTAGGAAAATATCTCCTTTGTGTTCCCCTAACTGTACCAGCTCTCCATTATTAGTATAATTAGTTACACTAATAAGCTATGGTTATGGTTTTATCCCTCAAGTAAGTGGATCCTCTAAAGATTGTTCCACACATCTATGTTATCAAAGTGGTAGGCTATAGCTGTTCTTAGTGTTCCTTTGTTCTCATGTCCACATAGGGAGTGCCCCTCTTTCATTTTCAGTGTTGGTAATTTGTACCTTACTGTCTTGGTTAACCTGGCTAGATGCTTACCAATTGTCTTCTCAAGAATCAAGTTTTAGTTTTAGTTGTTTTCAATGTCATTGATTTCTTCCCTAATGCTTTTCCTTTCTTCTCTTTTGATTGCTTTAATTGCCCTTTCTAGAATTAAAGTGGAAGCTAAGCTATCAATTTTAGATCTTTTTCTAATAGATGTGTATAATGCTACAAATTTTCCTCAAGAACTGCCTGTATAGCCTCCCACAAATTTTGATATGTTGTATTTTCATTTTTTAGTGGAAACCATTTTTGTTTTGTCTACTTGGAGAATATACTCTTTCATAACTCTTTAATACCTCCTTTTTATCCCTGATAGTTTTTTTTTGTTCTGAACTCTTCTGTCTGAAATTGATAGAGCCTCTTGAGCTTTCTTTTAATTTGTTAGCTTAATTTGCCTTTATCTTTTACTCTATCTCAGTTTTCATATGCAAAATAGGCTTCTTATGGGCAACTCCTAGCTGGGATTTACTTTCGTAGACACTGAGAAGAATCTTTTTAGTTGATGTGTTTCTACCACTAACATTTAAAGTGATTACTGATATATTCGGGTATTTTCTATTTGTGGCATTTATGGTTCTTTATTCCACCTACTTTTTCCTGATCTGTGTCTTTGTTTGTTGCCAGTACTGGGCATTGAACCCAGGGAGCATTAAGCTACATCCCTAGGACTGTTTCATACTCTACTTTGTGACAAGTTATGGCTAGATTGCTTAGATTCATCTCCAGCTTCCAATTCCTCTGTGTCAACCTCTTAAGTAGCTGTGATTACAGGTGTGCACCACTGTACCCAGATGCTTTCTCTGCTTTTAAACAACATTTTATATTATTTCCTCTTTATACAGCAGCTACCTTACATTTTTTCAGTGATTGCCTTCGATTTAGAGTATACACTTTAAAATCAATCTGAGACCACCTTTATTTTTTTCCATTATGTTTATTGGTACATTTGAGGTAAACAGTACAGTTACATTCATTATTAGGATCTTGTACCTTTACATGATATTTCTTGGTTCTTATTTTTTCCCCATGCCCCAGCCCTCCCTTCACCTCCTTCACCCTTCCCTATTTAGAAAGACTTAGATTCCATTTTTCCTCTTTCATATTTTTTTCTTTTCCCTTTCCCTCCTCTTCCCACTTTTCCTTCTCCTTTAGACATTTTCTTCCTATTTCACACTATCAGTTATACCATTTGAACCTTATTTACACTTTTAGTTTTTCACACCAGAGAAATTTAGATATTTACTGAAGTGTGTCCTGTTTATTCACTTGAGTATGTCCTCAGTGTGCATCCATTTAGCTATAAATGTCTTTAATTTCTCATTCTTTATGGATGAGTAGTACTCCATTTTATAGAAAAACCACATTTTCTTTATCAGGTCTCCAGTTGATGAGCAATTGGGCTGTTTCCAAGTTTTAGCTATTACAAACTGTGCCACTATAAACATGGGTGTGCATATATCACTGTGGTATGATTCCTTTAATTATTTTGGAAAGATACCCAGCAGAGGGGTAGCTGGGTCAAATTGAACCTCTAATCCTAGTTCTTTGAGGTATCTCCATATTGATTTCTAGAGTGGTTGCACCAGTCTGCACTCCCACCAACAATGGAGAAAGGTTCCTTTCTCCCCACAGTCCTGCCAGCATTTGTTACTGGTTGATTTCTTGATAGCCTCCATTCTTTCTGCGGTAAGGTGGAATCTCAGTGTTATTTTCATCTGCATCTTTCAGATGACCAGCGGTGTTGGACATTTTTTCATATATTTATTTGCTGCTTTTACTTTTGTCTGAGAAATGTCTGTTCATTTCAGATGCCCATTTTTGAATTGGGAGGGTCTGATTTTTTGAGTTCTTTATATATTCTCGATATTAATCCTTTGTCTGAAGAACAGCTGGTAGAATTTTTTACTACATTTTAGGTTGTCTTTTAGCTCTGTTGGTGGTTTCTCTTGCACTTCAGAAGGGATCTCAGTTGTTATTTTTTTGTGCTAGTTCCTGTGCTTCTGTGGATTTGTTCCTAAAGTCTTTTCCTATGCCAGTGTCTTTTGGAGTTCTACCTAATTTATTTTCCAGCAAGTTTAGTGTTTCTGTTTTGATATTTAGATCTTCAATCCACTTGAATTTTAGTTTAGTGCATAGTGAAAGATACGGGTCTAGTTTTAATCTTTGGCAAATTGAAATCCAATTTTTCCACCACCATTTATTAAAGAGGCTATCTTTCCTTCAGTGAGTATGATTGGCTCCTTTGTCAAAGGTGAGGTGGCTGAGTGTGTCTGCATCTTTTAATTTATTCCACTGGTCCTTGGGTCTGTTTCTTTGCTAGTACCATGCTGATTTTAACACAGTGGCTTTGTAGTACAGTTTCAAGTTGGGGATTATGACACCCCCTGCCATGTCTCTGTTGCCTAGAATGGCTTTTGCTATTCTAGGTGAGACCACCTTTGAATAACACTGTACTGTTTCACACAGAGTGCAGATACCTAACACCCAGGCTGCTAGTTCTTCCCTTCCAGCCCCATTACCTGTATTGTCATTCAATTCAGTAACCATAATCTGCTGTAACCAACATTTTACTTTTTATTTGAAAGTTATCTTTTTAGATCAATTTACATTAAAAAAACATTACCTTCATTTATTGCCTCTCTGACAGTGTTCATTTCTTCACATAGATCTAAATTTCTGATCTGTTTCAATTTCCTTCTACAAGAACTGGCTTTGACATTGCTTGCAAGCCAGATCTGAAAGTGGTGAGTTCCTGCAGATTTTGCTTGCTTGAGAAAGTCTTCATTTCTCCTTAACTTCTGAAGAATAATTCCACTGGATTTAAAATTCCTTGTTTGTTTGTTTTTGTCTCAAAGTTAATAGTGTGCTGATTAAATCACAGGTTTTGAGTGGGTCTGTATCTTGGAGCCGTGACCATCATAGGTGTTTGTCCATTTATCTCCCTTCTCTAGCTGCAGCCTTCTCAGTCTTATTTACTTGAAGCCTGGACCTCTGCTGACCTTGTTTAATCCTTTTTCCCTTAGGAGAGAAGAGAAAACTAAAGTGAGTTGGAGAGGGAGGAATGCTCTTCCCCAGCTTTTATTAAGCTCTGTCAAAGTATTTTTCCCTGGAGAATAGGTTGTTTTCGTTTTATTTTATTTGTTTGAAATACTGAAGGTTGAAACCAGGGAGCTCTGAGCTACATCTCAGGTCATTTTTCTTTATTTTGAAACAGGCTCTTGCTAAGTTGCCCAGGCTGGGCTCAAACTTGTGATTGTCCTGCCTTGGCTCTTGAGCTGGGATTTCAGGTGTGTGCTACCACACTCACCTGGAAGAAGTGTTTTGTATAGAAAGGCTTTTAACTGTATTTCCTAATTATTATTCCTCTTTTTCTCCAGTCAGAACCACTAGGAGCTTTCTAAAATCTTTTCCATAAGAGCACAGTAAGGTTTCAGTGAATGAAATCTACAAAACCATGGGGGTGGGGCTCTGACTGGAGTTCTTGGGAGTTTC